AGAGAGAGAGAGAGAGAGAGAGAGAGAGAGAGAGAGAGAGAGAGAGAAGGGAAAATGTCACAGTAAATTCGCCGCTATAATCTGTTTCTTCAGTATTCTAATCTAGATTATTCTTGTATTATTTGCATTTTGCTGCGTTATCCCAGTCCAGGAGATCAATCATATTTCCCTGCGCTCTATATTGATCTATAACAACCGCGACCGTTACAGCCATTAATAGGTTTTCCTTGCTTCTTCGTAGTTTTGACGTCAGCATTTTTAACGCCATGTTATTCTTGGCACTCACGATGTGCGGTATCAGTACAATTTCAAAATTTTATAAATTATTCTCGAAGAGTACGTCTCTAAATTCGTAATTTACGCGAATATTGAGATTTACGCGAGATGTTATAGTTATTTCTGTTTGCTGAACTGCGTTATATAATATTACACCATAAAAGGAGAAAATGCTATAATAAAGCACAATAAGAATTAAAATACTTTATTTAAAGCGTTAATTACTATAATAAACAATAGATAAAAAAATGACTCTAAAAAATATTGTATATCCTAAAGATCCATTTAGTGATGTGTTATGTATTTACAGTACTTCATTACAACAATTGAGATACTTCTAATGTTTTATTATTATAATACATTATATTTAATAATGGAGAACTAAATACACGGGGTTGTTAATAATTTTTTATTCATAACTTTAATTAGCAGACTACCATTCGCGTGATGCACGCAAATTTATGTACTCACAAATTTGCATTATTTGGTCATTAAATTCGTTTCGCAAGGGATCGTCTTTACGCTACAGAGGAGTAATTAATGCCGACGTATAACGTACCGTTCAATCCGGACATCATTTCGTAATTCGACACACTGACGACATTCCTTGAATATTTCATTTAATTCAGAATCTGATCTTTACCCCGGTGACAAGGCCTTGCTTTCGTTTTTTTTTTTTTTTTTTTTTTTTTTTTTTTTTTTTTTCTAAAATAATGGTCGATCGCTTTATGGAATAACATCACTCTCTGCCCGCGTAATTAACTGTGGCAATCGCCGAGAGGTGGATTTATGTTTTTCGGGATAATCGATTCCTCAGGTCGTCCGCCTTTCTGCCTATCGATGTTCTCCACCCTCACCCACACTTTCGTCACCTATCCCTACCTGCCGCCCCCGCTATCTTCTGCCCACGCACACCTGGAGAATCTAAAATGTTGCTGCAAATGTCAGTCCTAAAATTTACAGCTGATAATTCAGAGGTCATGAAAAGTTAGAGCTAATTTGTCGTCGAATTCGTTAAAATTCGTGAGATCTTGATATTATATCTGCATGTAGGAGTTCCAATCGATAAAGGACACCATTGTACTGAAAAATTAACTTGTACTTTTCCCAATGGAAATATCTTAGTCACTTTTATGTTCGATAAAAAAAATTAATATTTAGTGTTTAAAATACTCTTATATACATTTATATCGCTATTGAAGATATCTTATATATTATTTATAAAAGAATCACATTTATAATAGATCATATACGACTTTCGGTTTTCAATGTGGCAAGACATTATTAAACTTCTAATAAAAGCAAACGTAAATAACTTAATTAGCTTTCAAAGGCTAATCAAGTTATTCGTGCTTGCTGCAGAAATAGACCAATGTTACTTCTAATATTACAACTCTGAAGTATGTAAAGTGCTTGACATTTATACCTTAACTTCGTTAAGTTGAAGCTGATTAGAGTTTTTGGCAAACAAATTTTTGCTATTCGAGGTGGTCTAAATATGACTTTTATCATTTCCAGTATTAAATAACTCCAACGATAATTTTTATTTTCCCTTTTGACATTATAGTCGAAAAGATGTCAAACGCAGAGGCATTCCATGTATCGTGAAGGGAAATCATTAATCGACACATCTACTTGTTCCCAGGCGAGAAAGCGAATCGCACACGACGCGAGACGTTCGCCAGGAAATAACGCACCTTCGAAGTCATATTAGTGCCGACTCTTCATCTCCTGAGAGGTCTCAACTCTTCCATCTTCCGGCTTTCCTCCTCTCCCCCGAATTTCCGCTCACGGTGCGAAAGGGGTGAGAGAGGAGAGCGACGGAGAGAGGCAGAGGAACGCGATCTCCGTCGCGACGCGGTCGGGGGCGCAGACTCAGCGGCAGCCAGCCAAAGCCGGTTGTCCACGCCCCCCGCTTCGCCCCCGGCGGGGGCGTCGGGTTCATGGAGGAATGGGCTATGAGGGTGCGAAGGGGGTACACCGATAGCGAGGAACGTACGGCGGTGCGGGCGGCAGGACACGGGGTAGTTTTCGGGGGATGGTGGGGCGACATGGAACGCTGCGCACCCCCCGCGCGACGCCGCGCCGTGACGTCACGGGGGGGATCGAATCAATATCGTACCAAGTACCCTCCCTCCGTCGTCGACGGTCCTCGCAAGACAGACCGCCGACCGCCTCAGTACGAGGTGGCCCCCGCGACTGTACGGGACGACGACACCAGCGTCGTTCCGACGACGACGACGACGACAGTGGCAGCGACGATTACGAAAACGACGACCCGTCCGACTTCCGGTTCGTCGTCTTGCTCACCCCGTTCGGGACCGGTAATTGCGCTTCTCGTCACGTTAAGTCGACTTTGTATCCTGTCTTCGCGTTGCCGGTTTTTTTTTCGGTCCGGCCATTGGTACCCAATAGTCATCGATTGTTCACACTGAACGCCGGTTTCCCACAATGAGGTAGTCGCAGCCGCTTTGGGTTTGTTCGGGATTCGGAGATTTGTTCAGTGGGAACGCGAGGAAAGTACCCGTAAGTAACCATTTGGCTGTAGTGACATGAGCGAGTTTTTTTTTTAAATAGTGGTTTTCGAAAAAAAGAAGTTTGAATTTTTCTTCCGAGAAGTAGGGTTGATTGTAAATAAAATTGTCGGTGATAAAAGCTCTCTTTTCTATAACATTCATGTTTTATTTCACGTAGAAATATTATAAAATAAAATACGGAAAATTCGTTTTTCTTTATATCGGTATGAAACTATTATAAAATCTGCATTAAATTATTACCGGCCAGCTTTAAAGTATACAACCGCGCAAAAATAATTCATAGAGATCCATGGCCAGTCAGAGTTCGTACATACATTCGTACTTATTGTTAGATATAAAAGAGCGCGTGTGAATAGAGCAGCACTTATGGAACTATATGTAATAATTTTATTTGTGGAATCTCTATTTTATAATAAAACTTTCACTCATAACGATTTTAACGTTGACCAAAGTTGTGTAGTCAATTTTTTTGTAAGTGTGAATATTCGAGGATTGATTTACTCAAAATGCTGATTAATTAATTATTTCATTGTTAGTCTATTTCTAAAATTAGAATTTTTAGGAGACATAGATTAAATCTAAAATGAATTAAAATGACAAAAGTTTATTACTTTAGATTGAGAAACTTAACTTAAATATTATTAATTCAAAATCAATTTGAATTATATCTAAGATTAAAAATTACCTAAAAGATTTATTGAAAATACAACATTGTGAAAAAGTATACACAGTTTTGTTCTTTATGTATATTAAAAATAATTATTGATACTGGAGGCTAAAAAAATGACATTATTTTTCCTATTTAAACGTAAAAGTTGAATTAACAAGAATATGTATATGTGTACTTATATACATCAAAAAGGTCAATACTTTTTCATAGTTTACGTTGTTTATTAATAAACTTCGTAAGAGCACAAGTTTCACAGATTATTAGAAATTTTAACTCTCAGGGATGTTAATTACCCCTTCGCGCGATCGATTATATGTTAACCGATACATTCACTTGCAACAAACTTGCTCTTATATATAATTAAAATATCAGATGACACCTTCTGGCTGAAGTACTCTTCTTGGTGATACTCTCGCATATTCTTTAACGTCTAATATCTGTGAACATAATAGCCCTTATTCTTCTAGGTAAAGGACCTGCTGATCCTCGCGATCGGTTCCGGTGCCGTGGGCGCAGGAAATAGGCAAGGGAGGAGAGTGGAAACGAAGAAACTAGGCAGGCAGGGAAGCAGCGGGCTCAGTGAGTTGGGTGAAAATCGATGGCCATCAGCGCCCATGGGCGGCCTCGCGTTTAGGACAAGGAATAGCCCCTCCCAGAAGACCTCGCTCCGGTGGGGTGACTGCTGCCCCCCAAATCCCAACCCAGCGTCGTCGTCGGTCGTCTGGAAGCATCGTCTTCAAGAAATGCCGCCGGTGCCTGTGTGAGGCTGTCCCCCGCTGTTGCGTGATTGTACCTCGCGGGGATTTCAAAGGTAAACCTCCACCCCTGATATTTAGAGTTCGCTCCCCTTTTTCCGCGCAGCTAGCTATTATTTCGTTGACTGGGTGTTTTGTCGCGATAATTTTTATAGTTTTAATAAAGCTTTAATTCTCTCCCCTTATTTTTGTTCGAATGAGAACGAAGAATAATAAAGAATAAGAAAAACGAAATCACAAAGAAGCCTATGCGCCCCGGTAACAGATGAACCCTCAGCAATCGTATGCTTTATATTTTTAGCATACAAGATTGCATATGTCTCTTTACGTATCTTCTTTATACTCTTTTTTTTATTTTAAAACGTATTCTTTGATGTTTTATTACTATTCGTAATATAAATTTTCATTATTTTTTGAAAGCCAATAAAATATGCTTTCATTTCTTTTAATTTAACTTCGAGAAACTGTCTTTTGAAACTGCATTTTTGTGTTTCACTGTCTAAATTGCAATTTTTACTCTTTCTTTTCGCAAAGAAAGAGTCGCACACGGAAAGAATGATTTTATTGAAGCATCTATAAAAATTTAGCTAGATACAGATTTTAAAAAAATTAGATTATCAAAATTGTCGTGGAAGAAACTTTTAAATATGATGAGTAATGATGCAAGTTTTTTCTGATAGTCCAATAAAGGCGTTTTCTAATCTGTATCTAATTTTAGATATTTCGGCGAAATAGTTCTTTCAATTTTCTTTTTTTTTTCTATTTTATGCCGAGTAAAGTGCGTTAATCGAAGTTACATCCTTTTTGAAGCCGAATTGAGCGGCGCACGACGCCTCGGGTAGACCGCGCCTAACAGGATTAGAGGGTGAACTCGGTTGAACGATTTAAATACCCCTCGGGTAGAAACATAATATTTGCGCTTAGCTGCACTTGTTGGGCGCGAGCGTGACGGCCACGGTGTTAATCAAGTGGAAGATTTTAATACACTCTACGCGAAATTGATAAGTTCTTTGTAAAACCTGCGCTGAAAAGTTTTTGTATCCTTTAACGTCGCGTCGTCGGCCGCTGCGAATAAAGAAAGATAATTCGTATATCCACCTTTTTTAATTAACAAAGCAAAATTAACAGAGCTTGATACTTAAGAATGTGTCGCATGAAAAAAGAAGAAATTTAAATGTCAATTCTCAGGAAATAAAATTGCAAAATTTGTTATAATCTTTTCAATATTTTTTTAAATATATATAAAAATAATAATTTTTTCAAAATGCCAAGTATTGTAAAAATTTTTGTAATTCAATAATTTATGTGATAATATAATTTTTCACTATGAAATTAAGCATCGCGATTGCTGAGATTTCAAAACTTCTTGAAATTCTTTTAAATTTCGCCATCACACGTAGAGATTTATAGAAAGGAAAAACATGTTCAAAACATTGAATTCAGATATCCAGACAATCCCAAAGCGGATCAGCCACCGAACTTCTCGGACCTACGTTTCCGTCAGCTCGAGCTCACGCCGGTGGACCCCTATTCCCCGAAAATGATCAACATCGCCGGGGTAGTTTCCATCGTCCTCTTCTACCTGCTGATTTTGGGCGTGGGAATATGGGCGGCCAGGAAAAAGGAAGCGGGCAACGACTCCGAGGAGGAGGTCATGCTGGCCGGCCGCTCGATCGGGCTCTTCGTCGGGATATTCACGATGACGGCGACCTGGGTCGGCGGTGGTTACATCAACGGCACCGCCGAGGCAATCTATACCAGGGGTCTGGTCTGGTGCCAGGCACCATTTGGATATGCTCTCAGCCTCGTTTTCGGTGAGTCCGATATTGTCTTATCGTTTTCTGTGTTGATTTTTAATCTCTTGTTCGTGACGTGAAGCACAGTTATCCGGTACTTACTATACGAAATATAAAAAAGTACAAGTTTACTCATTTTTCAACCTTTCTAAGAAAAATTTCTTCAAACGTGTGGAGCCACACGAATAAAAATCTCTGTACGGTGTAAACTTTACCTTCATTTATCTCCATCTGACGGAATCTTAAAAGTTTTACGTGAAATTGATGAGAGTCAGACTTTACTGTTGCCTCTTTATAATGCTGTTCGTTCTTTTGGACACTTTGTGCAATTTAAATAACTTATAAAATTATATTAACGGACCGAACTAATTTGTACTCCTAAAATATATATGTATGTATATATATACGGCTTTTGTAGATTTTATAATAGCAATTTAGCTTACGGAAGTTATTTGTCGCACGTCAAAATCTGATAAGAAGCAATAATAATACAGAAACTCAAGACACGTCATGAAGATATTGAAAACTTTTCATAACATTGTGTAAGTTCGCCTTAATCAGTCGGGTGGACGGTGAAAGTTTACAATCGTAAAGATCGACGATAGAACAATCGAAAGATTGTTGATCGATGGCGTGTCTTTCTTTACACGACGTTGGAATGCTTATATGTCCAACTGAAGAAGTTACGGTAGCCGACAATAGAATTCTTGTAATATATCAGACAGTCGAGTGTTCGCTATCGGCACTCTCGCATGTAAAGGCGATAACTTTTCCACCAATGTCTCGCGCGCGACCAAACGACCTCGACAAAGAATAAATGCGACTATAACTCCATTAAAGGCCTTGCATGCTTTGCCACGTCTATGAATGATCCTCTATATTCTAAATCATTAAGAAAAATTGATTATTATTTCTTCAAAATCTGGATCTTTATACAAAAAGAACAATTTTTGAGAATCTAAAAATTCAATTAGAAATACAGATCTGAAAATAACTTTTTGGTATATATCAAAATAATTATGTAGAACGCTTAAACTGGTTAAAATGTCAAAACTTTTTATAGCAGTGCTTATCATACTTCAGATTTTTATACAATTATTTTGATGGTCTACAGCAAAATTATTTTTAGTTTGAGCCATTTTTCATTTATAGCATAAAATAAAACAAAATATATAAATACAGTTTGTATACATTGTTTTTAAATTTATTATTATATATTTTTATTTAAATTAGAAAAAAATATTATCTCTCAAATTTTTAACTTTTTTAAGCTTAAGCTCTTTGAATTTTGATGATAGAAATCAAATTTTTAACATCTTTTAATAAGTTTTTTAAATGTTTTACTCAAAGTGTTTACTTAATTTCTGTGCGAACATACATACATTCTTTCTATTCTCTTATTGTTAATTATTACGCTATTCAAACGTTTATCAAGCTTTACCGCCATATTTGAAAAATTGATATTTTCTTTTAATTTTTAATCGATATATAAGATATTCTAGTATTTGATGAATCTATTTCAGTTTCCAGCGCCATGGATGAGATATGCCAGGGGAAAAAAGTTGTTCTCGACGGTTTTAACTTTCTGCCGCAGGTGGTATTTTCTTCGCGAACAAGATGCGACAGCAGGGGTACGTCACGATGTTGGATCCGCTTCAAGACGCATTCGGGGAGCGCATGGGCGGCCTCCTCTTTCTGCCTGCTCTGTGCGGCGAGGTTTTCTGGGCGGCAGGTATCCTCGCGGCACTTGGCGCCACGCTGGCGGTTATCATCGACATGGACCAGGGCACCTCCGTCATTCTGAGCGCCTGCATCGCTGTTTTCTACACCCTTTTCGGCGGTCTCTACTCCGTCGCTTATACCGACGTCATTCAACTCTTTTGCATATTCATCGGTCTGGTAAGCGATCGATTGAGTTGTCGAATCGTATTAAACATTTGTGGAATCAGTCATAATTATTTATTTAGTGCAAAAATAATAATGATTGAGAAAACGCAACTAGGAACATTCGAACGGTATATTCGAATAATTAAATGTAATGAAACAATAATTTATAATTATAAAGTGAAATTTATTTGAAATAAAATAACGAAAAAGTAACATAAAATAGAAAATAAGATAAATCGTTATAATGCATTATAGATAAAATTTAATTGCACGTTCTTTTTATATCTTGAGTAACAAAATTTCAATAAATGTCATGGTTTACTTGACCTGTACAACGCTCGGTCGGACGAGTCTTTGATACAATATAAACTCCGGAGCTAATCGATATCATGGCTCGCCACTGCGAACGTTTGTATTACCAAATTTATACTCGGTGACGTATAGGTGACCCACTTCCCGAAAGAACGTTATCGAACTATTATTTCTGTGAGACTCTGCTCCTAACGAACAAGTTTCCATTACAGCGGTGAACTTTAAAGCTTCACAATCCAAAGATCTTATCTTTTTAGACATTGCTTTTAGTAGATTAATTTATTTAACCGAAATTAAATTTTTTTTTAAAAAAGGAAATATATATGGTTTCTCATCCTGTTGAATTCGTGTGACTCAAAAATGTTTAAATGTTACAATACAATAGTGTAATTCTATAATTCGTATTTTTAATTGCATAATCTTATTTTGTTGTTTTAATTAACAGAAATTATTGACATGAAATACATATAATATAATGTATATACGTAAAATAGTTTATATTGCTGAATGAAAATATTAAGTTAGTTGTGTTGTTCTTTATTACGTTTCACTAATTGACTGGAGTTACAATATTACATTCGCAATGCTTTTATTTCGAGCACTACGGACTTCCCTTTCAGATACCGTTCCGAATGCAAACTCACCTCTCTGTATCAAAACCGCCGTGCCGTCCATTAACTGTAATTAATCGCGATAAATCAGGCCTTTCAGAAATAATCACAATAGCGAGATAGATGTCTGAAGAAGATATTTGAATAGCTTGTAGTAATCAGTTAGAGATTAAAGTCAGTTTTATGTTCAATCTTATAAAAAAAACCACCTGAAAAGAACTTTTGAATTTAATATTTACTAAATTATTTTCAAATTCTATTAACAGAAAAAATGTTTTTTATAAAATAGACAGTATTTTAAGCACCAACAGTTTAATAAAAATAATCATCTTTTTCTCAAAATATTAAAGATAATCGAAAATTGCGAAAAATCTAAAGATTTCTTACTAGTCAATAAAATTAATATGTAAAACTAATTAAAATGGTTTTTTAAACATTTCGATACAATGATTTTTGACGAAGTTATTCTATCTCGAAATTTGCCTACTTTTGCAGGGTGGACCAAGTAATCCTTTAATTTTGTTGAGTAGTGTATTTATTTTACTATTGACAAATATTCCCTTATCTGTTATCAATTTTTTAATTTTACGTGCCAAAGTGATGAGAATCATTTTTTGTTAATAGTGGATGTGTATCCCGTTCGCTTGGGCCAATCCGAAAGTAGAATCCCTTAGTTCCATGGACGTTGATTGGATCGGCAAAGTTAATCCCGAGGAATATTGGTATTATTTGGATTACGGTTTACTTTTGGTATTCGGCGGTATACCTTGGCAAGTGTACTTCCAACGTGTCCTCTCCTCGAAAACCGCGGGGAGAGCTCAAGTATTGAGTTACGTTGCCGCTATGGGTTGCATCCTCATGGCCATTCCACCCGTCTTGATTGGAGCGATTGCCAAAGCAACTCGTGAGTACGCATTTAATTATTTATTAAATATACGTTATATAGTTAGCTTTAGCTATACGCACTATTTTTTTTCTTTCCTTGATATACACATTCAGATCCATGGAAACCTCATCCATACTTGTCATCGTAACTTCCGTAAAAAAATATTTTAATTAATTTTTTTGTTCAATTGATGGAGAATTGATTAAGAGGAACAATTAAATTAAATAATATTTAAGTCTTTTATCTTTTGCGTTGTCTTTTAATTAATTAATAATTAATATTATACTGTGTGTGTGTATAAATAAGTTTAAGGACGTTCTCCGACTACAGTTGTGCTCAACCTAAAGTAAAAAAAATACAAATCATATGAAATAAAAATCTTTTTTATTTTTAATTATCCTTATCTGTATATTACTAATTGTTATTATCAAAATGTGAGATACTGCATGTAAGTATAAATCATATCATTTCGACAACGTTTCATACGATGTTGCCAAATCGTCAATGCCCTGCACCTTCGCCACTGCCGCCGGTCGGCCTGTCGAAAAAATAGCGGAGCTACTTACTTTGCTCGATGATTTTTTAAAAACGAATATCGGAAGTCATATTCAGACAAATTTCATATTATTCCTTGTGTTTTATGTCTCATTGCTTCAAAAAATTGTAAAGAAAAATTTTTTAATAGTGAATAAAAAAACCACTTTCGAATAAGTTTTAGATAAGAATACTATGTTAAACGCTTCAACTTTGAAGTGGAATATTTTGATTTTTAATCCCGTTCCGGGTATTGTGAGTTTTAAAGCACATATTCAGGACATTAAAACAAGCTTTTTCTGCAAGTTTCAGAAAAATCTAAAAAAAAAAAATGGATTTTTTAAAGAACGTCCTTAAATACGTCATTTAAGCAACTATTTAAATAAAACGTGCAAATATTAATTCGATGTTCTCTCATTTCCGCGGAAAAAGACGTCTTAAGGATCTTTCCGATGAAAGACTTGGAAAAGAACTTGATTTGGATGTATTAATAATTAAAATGAGGCGTTTTTTGCTTCTCTTGAAATCGTCGCCGTCTCGTTCGAGGGTGTAGTAACATGATCCCCCTTCGCAAACCTCCTGCTCCTCGTTCGAATTAGAATCCGGGTGCCCATCATCCCACGCTTCTCTTCGTAGGCTACTTGACATTTGGTGGCGCGACAAAGAGAGAACTGCTGGTATTTACAAGCGGTTGGCGAGCGCGAAGGGCGCGGACGGCCGAGGGGTGTCTCGGGTGTACTCGCGTGCGTGCACAATAGCGTGGGACCCCGCCATGTGGCGTTGCTTTTGCGAGGGCGAGGGTGAATGCGACGACTCGCCCGTTGTAGCACAGCTACGTCCCCGGAACTAATTCGGTACCCTGTACCGGTATGTTGCGGAAGGATCCCCTGCACGCGGACGGACGGAAGGGAGATAGAGAGAGAGAGAGAGAGAGAGGAAGAATGACACATACAGAACTTTGAATTTCGCGGGCGTGACGTCAAACAAAGACAGTAGATAGGTGAAACAAATCGAAACGATAGACAAAGACGAGAAGTTCTCCTTTGCCCTTTAGAAACGATATACTCGTATTATTCTATTAGTCATATATAGGGCAGAATACAATATGGTATTCCGCATTAATATGCATTAGAGACATCTCACAATCACGCAGCTTGACGATAAAGAGAAGCGGAGAAACGAGATTAAACTTAATGAACGATATGTAGTCATGGAATCAAGATAAATATCAGAGGAGAGCAATGAAAACTTAATTAACCAACGCAAACGTATTTAAAAGAAAATCTACGTATTAATTGTTTAATAATTATGTTGCAGCTTGGAACGAGACGGAGTACAATGGTCCTTATCCCTTCACGGAGACGGAAACCAGCATGATTTTACCGTTGGTCTTGCAACACCTGACACCGGACTTCGTTTCCTTTTTCGGGCTGGGAGCGGTATCGGCGGCGGTGATGTCTTCTGCGGACAGCAGCATTCTCTCTGCTAGTTCGATGTTTGCTAGAAACATTTATAAATTGATCTTCCGTCAGCGGGTGAGTTTTCCAAGTTGCATCCCGTATGAATTTCTATAGCTTCACTCACACTCTATTCATGTACGAGTATGTGGCGAAACCGTTATTTGACACAATATGCTGCTCGTGTCGATGCATATCTTTAATGCGTATATAAGGCAACACTTCATAACGAGCTTCTCGTGAAGCTTTTTGTTAAAGTTTGTCATGAAAAGCACGACAAAAATTAGTTTGTTATTATGTCGATCTTATTTCGCGTTCTTTAACTTGGGATTAACTCTCTGACAGCGAGTGTTGCAATTATTTGCAACGTACATACTTTAAACGATTATAATTCGTATTAGATCGACGGAAATATATCAATTAAGAGAAATAAACTTATTTTCGGTCAAAGCAGATCTTAGTGCTTAAATATTTCAGAGTGAATTTATATACATATCCAATTCTGTAAACTGTCGGTCGTAATCTTCTCTTGAAACGCAATCATGAATAGAACTAGAGTGATAATATCATATATTAAATGCCAAATAATTTGATAATTTTTGATGCTAAAAATCATCTTAAAAGGATATTAATAATTTTATGCTAATCTAAGCATCTTAAGAATTATAAATAATTGAAATTCATTCACTTTGAAATATTTAAGCAGTAAGATCCGAAAATAGGTTTATTTTTCTTAAATGTTCATTTTAAAATTAAGTTCAAGATAAGTTCGGGATCGGTACCAGAAAAATTATACGCCGATGTAGCGATATATATCGATAAGGATAATAAATATTGATAGATTCTTCACTTAATATAAATAATTTTTAAGTAAAAGCAGTTAAAAAGTCTTTTTTTTTTTAAATTACAAAACAATGTCGCGTCTTAGAATTAATACGAAGATATCTAATAATTTAATTTCTTCTGTCTAACTTTATTTTTTATTCCCTTATAGATTACAATTATTTTTATTTTTTAAATATTTATATATTTTTAATTAAGAGTTTCTAAATAATCTTTAATCAATACTATTTATTACATATATATATCTATACATGTACACGTATTACGCAGTGAAGATATGCATCATTGCTATGCACTATCTTAATTATGACAACCTTTCATTATACTCGCGTGTCGATTCATCATATCTGCGTCGTAGTTAAGTATAACTATTTACGCGAGTTTAATATATATATGATAGAACAAGGCCGTGCAAAGAATTTTTGGAGCCCTAGTGCAAACATAAAATAGCTTAGCATTGAAAGCTTTGATGTGATGAAGACTCTGCACCCCCCCTCCCCTTCTCCTTTGCAATAAAGCTCTAGATGTATCACAATAGCACAATCCTTTTTCGAGACAAATGCCAACAATTTTTCTGTCGGCTACTTCGATCGCCATTTTTTACTTGATGTTTACCGTCCATCCCTTAGTAATGTCCCTACCTATCAACGAAGCGTAATTTTAATCTCAGGTCAACTAATTCTTCATCTTTTTCTACGAATTAGAGAAGAGTAAGTTGAACCAAGATTAAAGGAAACATGATGGATCTACTTTGGTACATCTAGAGCTCTACTTTGCCTGGCCTTGCGGTAGAATACGTGTATTTCCTTAGAATTTCGCGTAATGTTCTTCCCAAGCTTTTTTATTCCCCTCGATACTGAGCCACGTGGGTGCGCGATCTTTACATCCCCTGTGCAGGCGTCGGAGATGGAGATCATCTGGGTGATGCGAGCGGGAATCGGCGTGGTTGGCGTGTTGAGCACTGTGATGGCTCTCACGATACCGTCAATCTACGGCCTCTGGTCCATGTGCTCGGATTTGGTCTACGTAATTCTATTCCCGCAGCTGCTGATGGTGGTGCACTTCAAGGACTACTGCAACACCTACGGCAGTTTATCAGCGTACATAATCGCCTTCCTGGTGCGCATCAGCGGCGGCGAACCGATGATGGGGTTGCCCCCGCTAATACGTTACCCGGGCTACGACGAAAAGACATCGACGCAAATGTTCCCATTCAGGACAATGGCGATGCTGATGTCGCTAATAACCCTGGTGGGGGTGTCGTATGGCACACAGTTCGCCTTTCTGACCGGGCGGCTCGCTCCGGGTTACGACGTCTTCAGGTGCGTGGTGAACATCCCGGAAGACGTCGAGCGAGTGGGCCCGGACCCGGCCGAGGGCGAGCAGATGGCGGTCCTAGCTGGGGGTGTCGGCAGACTCTACGGCAGCAAGGACGAATCAAACGGTCGAGTGAATCCAGCGCTCGAGCCGGACTACGACATGGAGCCGGGATGTACGATGGTCGGAGGTACAACGGACGGCGTCGTCGGCGGCGGCGGCGGCGGCGGCGGCGGGGTCGGTGGCGCTGGGGGACACCTGGTGCCGCACGTGCCCGGCGGCGTGTCCCGACAACCGCAATCCAGCACCGCGTTCTAACTCCTGGTTCCGTGATCGGATGCTGTGACCAACAATAAGTGCGGCGGTGCGGGTCTCTTTCGTTTCCTTTCTCTCGCTCTACCCTTGTGATCCTCTTCTCTTGCTCCTTTCCGTCTACACGTTTCGTTCGGAAGCTCCTGCAATCGGTTTTCTTTGGACCTAACTGCTTCTTTCAGCGGTACGTTTATTTGAATATGACTGTTTCCTTTTAACTCTTGACAGCATAAATTTCTGACGAATGTGATAGTGATATAAGATCGTTCCAAGTGTTAAGTCTTTAAGAGGAGTCTTATTTCAATCAGTTTCGCGTTAATATCGTTATATTTAAAATGCGTATTGAGATGTTTTATTTGCCAAAGGTATTAATCGAATAATTGCTAAAATAATTCCGAAGGAATTGGAAGATCACTTGAGAACAAGAATTAATACTAGAACGTCTCTAATTCGCCTGCGCGTTGTTTTGTATCTTGAACTTAGTCTGTCGACACGAGGCGCGTAATCATATAATATACATTTAGCTAGCATTGCTTCTTCTAATCTAATGTGTCCCCGAGAGAATTGCAAAGATAATTATCTCGATGATTATCGTAGATAGTCGAAATTGTTAACAGCACAAATTGTTCCTCTCTGGGGATCGTTCTAGTGTTAATCGAGCTTTCCGACTTTTCCGGCTGATTACGTAAGTCCACAATGTCCTGTTTTCCAGTTCACTTTTCCTTTTTCTACCCGCCTTACGTCCACGAAGCTCTGAGATGAGCCAACAATGCGGTGGCCTGCGGTAAGTCTGATACGAAGTTTCTTTCGTATTCGCGTACCTATGAGTGTGCATTTGTGCGTGTGTGCGTGCGTGCGTGTGTGTATGCGTGTGCGTGTGTCTGTTCTTCGCTCGAGCGTGTATCCGCATGTCGCTGGTGCCCGTCTAACGATCTGTACCTGCCCGCGCTCGCTCGCGTTCGTGCTCCCGTCGCTGCTCAGAAAAAGCAATAAACGAGAAAATGGGGGATAAAAAGGGGGCATAGAAAGAGGAAGAATACATACAAAGGTGACTGGGGAAAGTACGCGCGAGCGGCAAGGGGATAAAGCGTAGCGTTTCCAAACCGGAAGTCGGAGCTTCGGGCGTATTCGGGCCGGGCGTCCCTACCCCGCACCGCCAATTAGGCCTAGTGATTTCCTTGTTTTCTTTTTGGAGAGGTATATATAAATAGGGGTATATATATATATGAAAAAGTAATATATACAGAAAAGATATATATATTTAGAGTTTAACAAAAAGCTGCTTGAGAGTGTTTCGAAACATGAACGGTCTGCCTGATTCGAGAATTGCAAGGATTTTTATCGGGGCTCGGTCGATCGGCGCGTGGTTTCTCTTCGTTAGAAATTAATTAGATCGAGCGGTCAATATGGTTATAAGTTTGTGTACGGGGTAGATGTACTTTCTCTCAATTCTGTGCGTGCACAGAACGACGATAAAGAGCCATTTAATTAAGATCAGCCGTGATCTCTGATCTCTACGGATAATAAATTTTAATTATTGATTAACGTCAAAAGGATTTTAATTGGACCGGAGCTTAGTAATGGATGTATCTGGAAGATGCAAAGTGAGAGATGACGAGAAGATGTATGCGATGAGTTTGAAGTTACCTTATATATTTTTATTTCGCGTTTCGCGCTGAATATGAATATTTAAATCTCATTTAATCAAATATGAAATGCATTTTAAATGAAAATGTAAAATAAATGTCAAATAGTCACATTTGATAGAAACGCGCGATAAAAATTCATTCTGATAAATATTTATCGTCAGCTAAGTATCGGAAATAGTCAACTTAATATTAAAATATTGGCATGTCTAATATTTATCGACAGATAGATACCATCTCATTTTTTAAATGTTATGAGTATATATTCTCGTAAGAGCTTTCGATCATTATTATTGTTAAAAGGGCATACATATATATATTTTCTTTCTCTAACAATAAAATATTTTAAATATTTCGACATTAATATTATTCCTCGATACATTTTTTAATCTGCGATGTTTTCTTGTTGGATTGCTGGCGTTTTAGTAAATTACTAGAAATTTTACGTTTGTGTGATGCAATTCTAATAATTTACCAAAACGCAAGCAATCCAGCAGGAAAAAGGCATCCTGTTCTGCGGGCTTTGGTAATAATCCTGAATATTTCTTAATTTTGAAACAGCGACGATAAATATCGATCGAACGGCTGCGTCTTCAAGGGACGTTAGAAGAGAAACCCCCGTCCATCTCTCTAGTATGTCATCCTCCTATCGCCTCTCTCACTGCAATTAGTTCGCGCTATAATTAGTTAACGTGCGTCGTAATGTCGAGTGTTCATGTTGGTGTTAGGTGAAGAGGTAAAACGAAGCTTTTGTACTTGCGATCGATCGTTCTTCCCTCGCTTCGCCCAGTCGTACAGGACACACGAGTCACGGACTCACACATACATATTCATCTATACGTGCTAACGTAAAAGAAACACGTTGTATAATAGATGCATCGTTAGAACACCGGAGGATGATCCAGCACGACCGCTCTCGTCGTAGAATTTTAAGTTTCTTCGCGGCTCACGAGGTCGATCTCGTTATCGACCATTAAAAATAAGTGGCTGTATGCTAGATTGAAAATTTACTTCACTTTTAAAATACTTAAAGACGTTCTTATGCCTAATTTGACATATGTATATTGATATAAAAATGGGAAAGAACGACGTTAAGTAGTACTTAGGAAATTGATTGTATAACATTATATTAAAGTCTAAAGAATTTTTTCATTATTAAGAAATTCTTACGACATTATCTTTTCAAGACCAATACTTGGTGTATTTATAAATCTTTTTGTGAATCATTTTTATATCGTTTAATAGTGATTAATAATTATTTAATGAAAAAGATGGACTTTTGGTTTTATAAAATAAAATTTACAAACATAAAAGATTAACGAGGGTGCGACGTGATATTTCGTGCGCATAAAGTTTACAAATGTATAATTTCAATTAAATATTACAAATGTCAAACGTTTTGTTTCGTAAATTACTAAATTTATCTCACAATTGCTGTGATATTCGAGAATTTTTGAGATATATATTAGTATTAAGTTTTTTCTGTTAAAACTATATTATACTATCGGGTTTCTGTTTTGCCTAAAAAAATTTCTTAATTTTTAAATACGTTAATAAATTGTGGCATTAAATAAAAATAATTATTTGATGGATTATCTCCGATTACGACATAGTTATGTCTCTTTGGGAGTGCAGCTTTTTCGCCGGCGGCATCGTCACTGCGTGAGCCGCGGAGCTTCGTCAGGCAGACCGTTCGTAGCGCAGGTCCGTTGTGTTTATCATATAGTATATAATAATATAAATGTATGATATAAAAATTATGAGCGGTAAATGCAGTAAAGAGCGAGAGAGATGGGTGACTTAGTGATGAGGGAAGAAAATATAGACCGCTCTGTCTCTCTCTCTATATATATTATACATACACGTTATACATACATGAGAAGACTAAATTCATAGGTGTTAATATCGCAGGTACGAGTTATCGCCATCATTGTTATTTTAAGGATCCGTTTGTTACGTGGTTCACGCACACACATATATATATATATTATGTATATATATGTGTGTATATTATATTATAGCACCGACATCGAGGTCGCTATACGCAATACGCATAAACCGCCTAGAAAAATATGTAATATATTTACGCTCGTTATATCTGATTGCTCATGTATTATATCATTATTTGCCGCCAAAGGATGAGAACATCACGTTTCGAGACTGACGTCGGCGTCGAGGATAAACGTTGAAATCTAAAACTGATTGTTTTTGAGGAAACCCCATTAGAAAAATAATTAAACGATAAAGATCATTAAGATATCATTCGACGTCACTTTGTTATTTGGGTTCTTTGCTTTTCGCGCAGATCCGTCTCCGATTGACTATAATCTCCAGAGACCCTTTAATTAGAGTGGTCATGACGAAGGGTCTGACATTTTTCGTCAAAATTGTGCGAGTAAGAAAAGACATGATATATACTTTCTAAATTCTTTGAAGTAGAATCTCAATCTAAGGAATGAAAGTTAATCAAGTCTTGGAAAAGAGTGGCTCAATTTTCAATTTTGAAGGGTAAGATTTTACTTTTGTGAACTTTCACTCTAGAAGTTGCAAAGAGTAAGAGTACTAAGTGTAACATTGCGCGTAATAGCGAGTGAATATAATTTGAATGAAATTTCTGATTGGTGGTAAATTTCTCACAGCAGCGTTATATTAGCTTTTAAGATTGGGGTCAAATTTCTGATTGCTCATCCGACTGCGCATTCACGGGCATGTCACATCTATTCTTTTCTTACAGCATGAGAAAAAATATTTTATTTTGCTCTGCAGTGTGTGTGGGGCAAAAGAGAAAAAGGTATGTACCTCTACTATCTCACTGATTAACGCAATTTGATGAAAACTGTTGAGCTAATTATTAGGTTGCTGTTTCATGGCTAAGCTTTGATTAGAGGGTTTCCACGATTGACGGCCCCGTGAACGTTTTCTGAATGATGCGATGTTTCGAACGCACTTATCAGAGATTAGACCCCTTCGGATCTCGAAACGCGACGTTGCGTGCGTAAAGACGGGGGATGAGGTACTTTAGATAATTTCGTACAGATAGTACAGCGTTTTTGTACTTAGTTCCTACTCACCCGATGAATTGTGATATGCGTCTGACTTGGCGATCCTGCAAAATTCAACGCGATTAAGTTTTCGAGCGTGCTGTCGCTCGCTTACGATTATTTCTCGTTTAACGTTGTTGCGTAAATAATTAATCCCGTTCAACGTGCTTGCAAAATAGTTACCTACGATTTTCCTCCAGACAGAATGCGTATCGGTTATTTCTAGAGTAGCGTGTGAATCGAGTATATTTTTCTAGTTTACGAAGACGCGTTTTTATTCCCGCTAGATCAGGATTTTCCTCTCGCCGATGGACTCGCG